CCCCCAGTGACCCCACGCAGTAATCCCCTGGTGCTGACAGCGGCGAGCTCACAGGCCCCGACGGCACCCGCCGCGCCGGAGCAGATACAGGCATGGACACAGAGGCCCAAGGCCCCAAGGCCCGATAGGGCCAGAGGACCCAGGCCCCACCAGGCAGCCACCGGGCCGAGCCGGCACTCGCCCAAGCGCCCAGCTCCAGACCCCGAGGGCCACCAGCGCACCAGCGGGCACAGGCACAGCCCACCAGAGGGCAGAGTGGCAGGGGGACAAAGACCACCACCAGCAGTGAACCCCCAAGTGAACCAGAGGATGTTCAAACTTTGGTTTGAGAGAGGAGTAAAAGAAGCCATTTTTGTCAAGAAAAAACATCTGTCGTTAAATGGGTGGGTGGGGGTTTCTGTATTCATTTGTCTCCTTATAATGCTGTTATTGCAAGTATGACTCAGCCCCCTGTGAACAATAATCAGGGTCCAAACGATCTATTGTTAGGCTGATGGTCTGTTTTTCATGTTCAGTTTTGATTGTCATCGTTAAACCTGTTTGTCCACCATGTGGAGGCACTGGGTATAAGGCTGATTTTACCTGAATCTCCTCTGATTGAAGTGTCTTGGAGGAGAGACAAAATGTTCTTCAACAAAGAAGAGCTTGTCCAGACAACCTACTTAACCTTTATTTTAATATTTCTACCTGGATTAATGAGATAATTAGGACATTAAAGTTCTATTTTTTACAATGTTTTTAGGGACTTTGTCTCTACAGTTGTCATCAGTTTATAGTTTGTGTTTTTCTGTCTTTGATTTCTGTCTCTGGCGTTTTTCTGCAGTTCGTAGAGTTGTTATCTAGCTATTTTTGTGACTCTTTTGTGATTTTATAGTTTTACATAAGAGTCAGACAGTGTCTGTTTTGTTTTACTGTGATGTTTGATGTTTATTTTCTTGTTCGTGTTCAATGTTTTAATTCCTTAAGCTAAATTGTTTGTTACACCCTGGCAGCACTACTAATAAAACAGGCAGACAAAAATTTCGACATGAGGATAACAGCAAAAACAGTTACTGAATGAAAACCGTTACTAAGTAATGTGTGAGCGTTTATGTATTTTTTTTTACCATAAGCAGTTGAAGATTTGCTTATGCAGGTTTTGAAAATCCCTCACTGTGTGTGTCTGTGTGTGTTAGGAGTTGTACTCTCAGTCATACGAGCGTGTTGGTGTCCTGTTCGCGTCTCTGCCRGGATTCTCTGATTTCTACGAGCAGAAAGAACTCCTCCATCAGCACGTCGAATGCCTCCGCCTCCTCAATCAGATCATCAGTGACTTTGACGAGGTATCTCACACACACACATCAGAACCAAAATCAGTTCATTATTGCCATTGTCAATGATTCACAGACTAGGATTTTGCTTCTGTATAAAGGTGTGATTAAGTATAAAATGTAAAACTAGAAGCACTCGGAGAGTGCAAACCTCCACCAAGACCAATTCCCCCATCCTGTAAGAGTAAAAGCACAAAAGCAGAGATGGAAACATATTTGTCGAATAAGTTCTGACGTAGCGATCATTTAAGCAGGCAGTATGCACGGGATTTCTTCTCGGTGGAGTCCAATGTGAAAAAAATAAAAAGTCAGACTCGTCACCCGACGTTATTCATCGTCAAACTGGTGTTGGATTAAGCTCCTAAGTTTTTATCAGTCACATTTCACCATGTAAAACGTCTGTTTTATCCCCTTGTATGAGTTTGTAATGGTTTGACTCTCTTCATAAAGTGCTTCCTGGTACCGTCGCTCTGGAAGCGAGTGGGTCAGCGCGACCGAAAACATTACCTCGCCCCTGGTCTCATTTAAATAATAAGAATGAACAAACAACCTCAGAGTCTGAAGTGCACCGCACCTGTGCGCATCACTCCTCTCCCTCCTTCTTCATCGACCTGTTTACAAGCTTACGACAATGTGGTGTGTTTGAGGAAATGGGAAAACTGGGTTTCATGGTGCAATCACGCACTTCCTGGTCGCAAGACGTTCTCTAAATGCGCACCAAATGCGTAAAAAATGCACACATTATGGCAAGACTTATTCATCATTACATCTGGTTTTAACATTACTTTTMTAAAGTTTGAAGTCCGTACTGTGTAATYCAGTTCAAATGAACACTGAACGCTCTAATTGTTTTTTTTACAGAAGCRCTGTGAAAGCATCACAGCTTTGCTGATCTGAGAGGGTTAATAGAAAAAAAAATTCCTATATCCGCATCGTGATCCGGAACATCACCAAAATATTTTGGTGTGTTCCTTGGGCRAGTACCCACATTTGTTTTAAATATCATGACAGTCCATCCACAGGTTTTTGAGTAATGTTGTCCACAGTCAGGCCGACCGACAGACTGACCGACATTTGCGACCGAAAACATTACCTCCTTGGCAGAGGTAAAAATATAGAAAATATAAAGGATTAAAAATATAAAGATGCACACCAATTCAATGTAGCTAGAGTAGTACAATTAAAATCCAGTGATAAAGTGGCCRAGGCAGAGTTATAAAATGATGTGATTCTAAATGATCAAGAGTCCGATGGCAGAGGGCAAGAAACTGTTCTTGCAGGAAGTTCTAGTTTGAACGGACCGAAACCTTCTGCCTGAGGGKAGTGGTATGAACAGGCAGGGTGAGAAGGGTCAGCTGTGGTCCCACCTGCTCACCTCGCAGTCCTGGAGACGTMCAGGTCATGGAGAGATGGGAGGCTGCAGCCGATCACCTTCTCAGCGGAGTGCACAACGCGCTGCAGTCTGTGTCTGTCCCTGGCAGTGGCCCCGGCACACTGTGATGGAGGAGCTGAGGATGGGCTCTGTGATGGCCGTGTAGAATTGCACCATCAGCCTGGCCGGCAGCTTAGCTTTCTTCAGCTGTCGCAGGAAGTACATCCTCTGCTGGGCCTTAATGATGAGGGAACTGATGGTCGGGCTGAGGGGCTGTGGCTTTACTGAAATCCACAATCATCTCCACTGTCTTCTGGGCATTGCTCTCCATATATACACAACCACCCACACATGTAGTCACACACATCTACAGACAGTGAGACTAAAGGGCTCGACACACGGGCAGCGACAAACTACAGCGATTAGCGGCTGTCATCGCAGCCAGGGTGAAACCCGACACACGGGACGCGATAGCGATCGCAGCGTTGCGAATCGCGCTCTCAGGTCGCTTGTCTTCATGAAATTTGATTAGTTCTTCTACTGCCTCTTGTAAAGATCATTGGTGGTTCACAAAAAAGGGGTGTGTGC